ATCCTTCCTTTTAAATTTCCAATTCTATATTTTAAACTCAAAATTCAGGATTATCTAGATTCTTAAAATTATCCAACGAACTGCTTTCCATTCACTGCATTCGTCCATCCACGAATAGCTTACCTTCGAAAATAGCTGTTGATATGTCGATTAAATGTAGTTGTGTTAACGTATAAATAAAAATTCGAATGATAAAAGCAAACTAAATGTTGCTGGATGATCCATTAATATTTTTTGATTTTTATATTGCTACTTTAAGGCATCTCACATTTTACAGAATATTTATGATGTTACTAGCCCTTCGCACAAATAATTTATGATCGGGAATAGATAAAATCAGAACTCAGTAGCGTACATTTACCTACCTACAACCTGAGGTATCTTCCTATCCTCTTACCTCGGTAAAATACAATCAGTGACATTATTGCAACGAAGCTCGGTCACAAACTCGATCTGGGGCCATACTTTTAAAACTCGCTAAGTCAACGAAGTACTTACGCTCTATTTTCTTGTCTATGATTGGTGGATTTTGCTTGAAAGGCCGTCAATGATTGACTGATGAACTTACGATCTCTTAACTTTTTTTGAAAGTATAGGCCCTGAACGTTTGCAATGGATGTGCCTGAAAATGGCCATTTTGCCTGTATGCTCATTGATTGACGTCTATGTTTTTGTTTCTATACTTGATGCTTGCAGGTATTTTTTGTTTTAAGTTTATGCTGAATATTGTAAATATTTTTAGCCAAGAATTGTATTAAGCAAAAATAAAACTATTATAGGAGATACAGAATTTTTCACAGGTTAGTTTACATGGAGAACTGCTTTAGCGTACAATTTTTGGGTCTTTTCTCAAGGAAGAATAGTAACTCATTACAAGCATCGTTCAATTATTGTATTCAATTCATTATTATTATTTCCTCCTTGTTGACAGTACTTTAAATCTATGTTTTAATCCCGTAGTTGTAAAATTAGATCTCATAGGCCAACTTAAGTGTCAAGTTATGAGCAATCTGTTGGTGTTATAACCACGAAGTGTTATAATACCTTTCGATAATTGATGTTATGAATCCTAATTGATGTTATACCCTTTGTTGTTGGTTTAGCTGATGATATTGACTGTCATTTAAGCTAATTTTTCTAATTTTTAACCAAGTAATTAGTTTATCACAAAAATTCTGAAGCGTAGTGGCCGAAATAACTTATTCAAATTAAATACAATATTTGATGAATTTCTTATTCACAAACGTTGGATCATACGTTTAAATGTACTGACATTTTGAAGACGATAACAAATTTGTAATACTGCAATTTTCATTTGAAAGATATTTTCCCTTCTTAATGGTAAAAATTCGTAATTTCGGAGGTTATTACGTAATGTAGTCACGGAGAAAATACATAATAGAATTTGAAATTGAAGGTACTTGAACGTTCAGATAGCGCCAAAATTTCACAGCATTGTTGACGTGAATGCTAGACTGCGGTGTCAGTCATTAGATTTAGAACCGTATATCTCATATTTTTTAGCTTGTATAAACTATTCTGAATCGCTGCTTCACTAATATCATTCATACACAATAAAACAATGAGATCAGAGTAATAGTTTCCATGTAAGTAAATGAATATACGTTTAATTATAGACTGAACTGGACGAATATGGTTCAAACTTGAGCCATAAATATTTTATCGACATCTTATGACAAGCTGTCGTAAACTTAATGCTATTAAAAGCTGCATGAAGTGTCAGCCTCTTTTTCCCTGAACCAAAAATTATCGTACGGATGTTCTAGGTAGATGAAATAGAAAATTATAGATGAAATTGCAATATTTGTTGTCAATTTATTGAGCGCTGAGATGCGGAATATTTTTATTGGAACGATTTCATGTGTCAGGTCTTTTTTTACAAACATTGAAAACACCGTGAGAAGAAATACCTTTGTACCAGAATTAATATCTTAGATACATATTAGCCCGCGCCCCTTCCTGTAGTTTCCGATTGCAAGCGCTCATTTTTTTCCGCTAAGAATTCTGTTTTTCAATCTATCTTTTAGTGCCTACCGTAGTGCCGCGATGTGTCCTTTCTATCCGTCCCAGTACGTGCTATTCCTATCTGTCCTATAATGCACCCTTCAATATCTGATCTTTGCTTTAGGTCTTAGAATGCATCCCTTCAGAATCTTCCAAAGTGGGTCACTGAGTGCGTCCCTTCCATTTGTCTGATTGCACCCCGTTTCCTTAGCATCAGGGTGCACCTTATTCCATAAGTCACACAGTGCACCCCATTTCATTAGTCTCAGAGTGGACCCCATCCCATCAGTGCCTGCGTGTACACCCTTTCATTAGTCCCAGGATGTACTCCTTCCATCAGTTTTAGACTACACCCTATTCCATCAGTCCCAAAGTGTACCCCATTCCATCACTCCTAGAATTCACCCTATATCATTAGTCTTTGAGTGCGCACCATTCCATCAGTCTCATAGTGCATCCCATTCCATCAGTCCCTGAGTGCATCCCATTTCATCAGTCCCAGAGTGGACCCCATTCAATCAGTCCCTGAGTGCACCCCATTCCATCAGTCTCAGAGTGCACCCCTTCCATTAGTTCCAATGTCTGGACTGCGTCTTTCCTACAAGGGAAAGTTGGGCAGAAGTTCCGTCGTCACGGCGTGAGTAGAATAAGGTTTAGTCATCAAGTTTCTCCACTTAGAGACTCATTAAGAGCACCGTTTACTTCTTTCATATTTTTTTATAACATTTCAAGTAATATACTTCGTAAGTTACGCACATAATTTTATTTATTTGAGTGCAAAATGTGGTTACACAGTCTTAGAATAGCGCTCCATATAAAGCCGGAGTTAGAAAATATTCTATCAAAAGAAAATAAGTTCAATAATCTTTAATAAAATTGTATTAAAAATCAAATGAATTCATTTCAGTCTTACTTATGGATCCGTTCGCGATATATTCAAGTGTAGGGGAAAAGTAACGGCAAACCTAAAAAGAATAACTTAAAAGTTGGTTCCAAGTTTGTTCAGGTATTTTTAAATTAGAGCGACATTATTTGCAAGCGGTACATATTTCTAGCTTTATTGTTATTTTCTTATTGCAACCCCTCGTCAAACTTTGGAGCAACTTCGTGAACTGACTTTTAGCCTTAAATCATGTGTGCCTTATATTATGATGATAGCAAAGTGATCCGGGAATAATGCTAATTATTTCTGACAAGTTACGAAACTTCATTTCTTTATGATACTCGAATATTCATGCAGCGCTTCGCATAATCATGCATTCAGATGAAGATGGTAATTTTGGTGGACTCAGAATGCCGTGTTCCGAAGGGAACACTTTTTGGGAACAAGCGAGAACTATGACTCACCGTGAACTTCAACAATTCCGGTAAGTTGGAAATGACTTATCAGAAACTATGATCAGTCGCAATCAAGTAAGGAAACACGTGTGATGCTCATTCTCATATATATACATTTTTCTTCTGGGTCCAACTGTACACAACAGCAAACGCTTTTCTCTAGAATACTCTAATTTCATTTTACTTTAGCATTTTCCTTATCTTTTAAGAGCTTGGGAGAGTCAATTACATTATAATAATGTTTTGTCTGGCCTAGAAAAGTCTTGAAATGAAGCTTCTAAGTATGATTGATTCAAGCGATATTCCGTGACCATCATGTTATACAGATAAGAATGTGGCCGCGAGAAGAGGTTGCTTCATCCCACTTAATTGCTGTGGCAAGTGACAGCGAAGCCACTCCAATAAATGGAACTTTTTTGTTCATCACCGAGACATCAGTGAGATAAGGGGCGTATCAAGGCTCGGCTTGAGAGGCTGAACTTATGAAATCTGTCACTTGAAATATGAGCACTTCTTATGCAAGAGTATAAATTGTAATTAAACTATAACTAAAATTTGGTAGTTTTATTCATTCACTCTCCAATTTCTCTGTGCCATTGTTTCTTTATTTAAATCACCATATTTGTGAACAGTAATTTATCAAGCAAATCAACGAGGAGGTTCATCTACATTATGAAGGATAAAAATTATTCCTTTTAAAGACAATCAATCAGTTATTTAAATTTATTCTTCACAACACCACCATTAATTGTTAATACATTTTTACAATTGTTACCAATAGTTTATACGAACTGCGATTTTGCATATTACAAAACTTGCGTTATTATTTTCCAAATAACCTCTGCGTTGCATCACTTTAAACAAAAATATGAATTTTTATATTTTGTGTAATTTTGTAGTTGAAGGTTTCGGTGAAGTGAAACATTAAAGTTTTATTGAAATTTGCTGGATTTCGATCGCTGGTCTTGCGTTTCACCACAACAAAATAAGTAGTCCCCCTAGACTACTTACTTAGTAGTCCCCTAGACTACTTATTTAGTAGTCCCCTAGACTTGCTGTACTCGCACAGCCGTGGCACTGCAGGTCGCCTCGTCCGCGGGTGCCACGCAGTACGGGTAGCTGGGGTCCGTGCTGAACACGCGGTCACCCGAGCATGTCATCTGCACCCACTGGTAGTTACCCTGACCCACCTCCCGGCACGACCAGTACCTTCAAAAGTATCACCGAAATGTATGGGCAAAAATGGATGAGAAAAAAATCTCTGAGAAAAAATTTATGAGTAAAAAAACGTATGAGAAAAAAAATTTATGAAAAATGTATGAGTAAAAATGTATGAGCAAAGATGTAATTCACGGAATGCACACTATGCACATTGGAAAAACTATAGGCGACGAGTAAAAAAAAAGATTTTAAATATTTGTCAACTTTCAATGATTTATGACAAAGGTTTATTTGTGCTTGTCGCTCTACGCTGCAATTAAATTTTTGTCTAAACAACAACGTTTTTTATTCCGATGAAAAGAACACGGCCGTCTACCTGATCATAGGCTGATGGCATGACAGTTTATTGGACCTAAAAAAATAAAAGTGTGTGTCTTAGTAAAAAATTATCGGCCTATTCCGACCAATTTACTTACAATTGACTGCACGAGCCGTAAGGATAGTTGCCAGCGGTTCCCGCGGAGCAGGTAGATGGAGTACTGCTTACACTGGATGCTGTAGTGTTCACTACTCCGCTTGGCGTGGTAGTTGTATTCACTCCCCCTGATGAGGTGTCGAAACTACAAAAGGTTAAGGGAGCACACACAGAATCGTCTCCTTGCACGCAACTTGGCGGTACAGCATCTGGGTCGAAGAAGTTGCCATTGGGACACACCAGAGGACCTGCTGAGATTCCACCCGCGCCATCACACACGTAGTATTGAGTGCAGTTTGTTTCATCAGGACAGTAGCCTCGACATCCGCTATCACAGGGTATTGGAGGTGCCGATTGACAGTTCCCATTTTCATCCACGTATTGTCCTACAGCACACTGGATATTATTGGTCTGTACGCCTGCCGCCGTGCAGTAGAATCCGTCTGTGCAGGCGGGCGGAATTGCATGCCAACCGGTCGCATCACCTGTGATTTCATCACAGGATGAAGGACTGGGAGGATCGACCGTTGTTGCTCCGGCAACACATTTTCCGTCAGTGCAAGTTCCCACAGGCGTACAGTCAGTGACATCGTATATTCCTCCTGTGTTGCACACGTCCACATAATTTGGATCATAAGGATCACAGACGCTTGCAGTGCACGCGCACGTCGTTGCAGAACCTGTAGGCACGCAAGCTGCCACGCCAGCTGAGGGAAACACTTCGCATGCCTGCAGAAAAAAGCGGTAGCAATTGAAAATAGTTTGATGATTTTTATAATATTTCTAATATTTCAGTCTGAACTACTTAGAAAGTGTCATCTTCAACCTCTCCTTAGATTATATCAATAGAATTGTGATTACACAGTACATGAGAAATGCAATTAACTAACTTTATTTTCTCTATGTCTACTATTGAATATTAGCATTTATGTAACTAGCTCTCTATTTTTCCCATACAACTTCTTCTGAAAATCGATGTTAAATCCTCACAATCGTACAATACAAGTTTAATATTTCAGATGTAAATGAAAATTTGGCATGTGTATTTTATGGAGGTCAGCCCAAAATTTATGAATTTTGGATAAAATTATCGTTATCAGACGCCATTTCCGCCAAATTTTATGGGACAGAATTTATTCGTGAATCGAAAATTAAAAAATTTAAGAATAGATCATCAAACATAATAAGGCTGCACTGTTACGGAAATTATTTAATTATTCGCCTAAATTATCGTGAAAATTGTCTACAATACGTTCAGGTACTGACGTATCCTGCTTCGCAGCTGGTAGGAGTTTCTACAGAAGCGAGGCAGAAGACCATCTGCCAGCAGTGTTGGCAGTAGTAGCCATCTTCCTTGTCTTCACAATACGTGTCATTCTGACCCATCACAGCCCTGTACATGAAGTAGGTAAATGTAACTTATCACTTATCGGCATCTATTGAGCTGATACAATACAATGAACAGAAAATATATAGAGACTAGGACTGCCTGGGATGTTATTACGAACCCATATATTAAGAAATAGATTTTTCCTGCCGGGTTTTAACCAATAAAAACGTGAAAACAAAGCCGTCAATGACCACATTCGTCATTCTGTGATCGTATGGCAAACCCATTCAAGTGACACAAAGAAGGAAAAGAACTGATAAATGATAACACAAATAATGAAGTATGAACCCCTATTGAAAAAAATATGTGTTTTCTTTAGCCCCAACTATCCCTAATGTAACTTTCGACCTCAACTTTGCAATACGAACCGCGGATTCTTTGGTCTAAGATCCTATTTCAGAGCCTTTCTCGAAATATTGAAATAAATGCTAATTTAAGATTTGTTATTAATGAACTAACAATGAAACATACTAGGAAAATAAGTAAAAATTTAGTACAAATGAATAACAAAATAATATGACTAATAACAACAATAACTTCTCTAAACATCAATTAAACTACACGAGCGATTTTTACAATAATCGAAAACCTGGAATTAAATCCCACCTTTGTTGTGGGGTTTAAATCGCAATGAAAAATACAGATAATTCTTAAGCGAGGTTTCGTCAATGCTGAATTAGAACTTAAACTAAAAAATATTAAAAAATCTAAAATTTAATAAATCATTGCCTCCTTTAACCCTAAAACTATATATTAATTCTAAAAGTTATATCAGATGCGAGCTTTTGGTGTTTACAAAGACCGCAGGATTTAAAAATTCAGGTCAAAACTTCGTGTAGTCTGTCAAGAAACTTAGTTTAGGAACTTTCACTCTCCAAGTCGCGAAAATTTCAGTCAAACCGTAGTGCAAAAAATGCTATTTCTCATCGCTTATGCAGTGATACTGAAACTGAGTATATACAAATTTATAGTGAAACTAGTGTTTAGATTACTGTGCATCTGTCATTATCGCACACAAATACGTAGAGTGATATTTACCAAAGAAATAAATGCTTGATAAAAATACATTTACGATCATTTTTCTGGCTCTCTCATTTTGTTCATAAAAAACACATAATGGACAAAATCATACAACGAATGAGTTATTCTAAAAATGAACCGATGGATGTTTAAGCAAAGAGTACCGGACTTTATGAACTAATACCTGAGTAACTTCGATTAAAATTTATTTTATCAACTTTTTTTCAGTGTTTCCAAGTTTCGAAGCTTACCATGGCACGCCGATGAGGAGCATCTGTAAAAAGGTATAAAGTTTTAATAACTTCGTACAGAATAACGAAAGAAATGACATTAGATGAAAATGTAACAAATTGAATTTAATTGTTTAATTAATTGAAATAATTGTACCAATTTAATTAGGTTAAATAATGAGAAAAGAAATGCGATAAACTTAATTTTGTGTTGCAAATATTTATTTAACGTCATCAAATAACATCTTCTTTGTTTATTTTATGTAATTAAACGTAAAAACAAAACAAGCTATTCGTAGACGCGGCAAACACTGCCATCGGTATGTAGTGAATTGTATTTTTATGATATCTACACTAAGCCAATACGGCAATACTTACCAGAATGACAGCACCGGTAGCTGTGTTCATCGTTATATAGCTGCAAAGGTAACCGGTACGCAGATATTTTTTTAAACGCTGATCTGTTCTGCAACTTGAAAGATAAGTTTAATTCAATGTCTATTAATATGAATTTACTACCAAAGTTAAACAATTTGTACATATAAATGTTATATTTGGTTTTCTCAATCAATTGTGTTACTTAATGTGTGATTCAAGGATCCGCGAATTACGCTAGCAAAAGTTAAATGAATTTTATTGTTCGAGTCAAAGTGCGATCTCCTGTAAATGTTAAATTAAGCCTATAAAGCTGGTTTTTATCGCCTATGCAGTATCAGTAAGCGTCTTTCTCCTAAGCATACGAGTGCACGCCGAGTACTGAAGTGAGATACCTTATAACTCTCGAACTCTTTTGAGTGTGCAAGATCAATTCATGCTTTGTACACGCCGGCACGGTAAGTCTGTGGTTAAATGCGAGCACTTAACCCACTGTTGCTAACATTCGTCACGAATTTTTATCGGGGCTCTCAATAGAAAGGATAACGTATCAATGTTTTTATTTGCAAAATTTTCTTTAGTCCGACAGTGAATGGAACCAAGATACTGTAATGAGGTATTTAGGGAGGGGTTAATATTTCTTACGATTTCGGAAGATTGAAAAGGTGATTCTTAACATGTATTTTAATAAATTTCGTCAGTTTTTGCGGATGGGGGCCAATTTGGATTTTTTTACGTAAATTAACATGTTATTATTAATATATCGGCACACTGAAATTAAGACTCGTATCTTCTCAGCCAGCGATTTTTGGTTAGCATAGCCTATTTGAATTCTCCACATGAACACACGCTGCTTGGAACTATGGTCGAATCTACTGTATATACTTATAACCCGAAAAAAATACAATCAAGTGTCATAGCATAAATGAAATAGATGCCATTTTCGGTAAAAAAATGAGACAAAAGGAATTAGCTTAACCAAAGCATTCCGGAACCAAAATTTACTAGCAAGTTAAATGGACAATTTTGAATGAAAATAGGAAATAAGGAGAATGCATTAATGCCATCGTGGAAGGAATTTAATCACGGAAATGAAAACTTGCCTCGGTTAAACATTAACTGAAAAAATGTGTGTCAGGATGAGCCAAGAGTTGGTCTCAAATTGACACTGTAATTAGTCGAACATGTGCTCTACTTTAAGAATAAATAATCGATAGGTTGAAGACTGTCACGCATGTTTATCTAAGAGTATTGTTTCTTTGAGCTCCGCGAAGCCAGCGAAATTTACACCCACTCTCTGTGCATCTGAGTGAGATCATAAGTAACGAATTAAAACTAATTCGCTTGATTCTAGTTCACTCCATACAAGACGTGATCGCACTTCTCCAGTTTTTGCTAGTTCCAAAATCCTTTAACGAATTAAAACTAATTCACCTGATTTTAGTTCACAAGTTTTTGTTCACAAGACATGATCGCACTATTCCAGTTTTTGCTAGTTCCAAATTCCGTAACGAATTAAAACTAATTCACCTGATTTTAGTTCGCAAGTTTTTAGTTCACAAGACGTGATCGTACTATTCCAGTCTTTGCTAGTTCCAAATTCCGTAACGAATTAAAACTAATTCACCTGCTTTTAGTTCACAAGTTTTTGTTCACAAGACATGATGGCACTATTCCAGTCTTTGCTAGATCCAAATTCCGCAAGAAAATTTCCCAGTCTACAGGAATCTTCACCGGCGCTGCTCCTCAGCCAGCGAGTGCAAATTTTACTGAGATCCTTCGCAGTCGGTAAATGAAATTGCGAGCTCCAGCTCCTGCATGTAGACGAGGTCCCTCATGCAGAGTTGGCTTGTGCGGCGAATCGCGTGTGGAATTTGGAATTTTCAGTCATAGAATATGTAACATAAGCTGTTATACTAATATTTCGTACCCGAAAAATGTATCCAAACATTTCATGGTTAGGTTAAACAAAAAATGTGGTTATGCTGTCTAAAAAAGCTCACAGAAAAATATAGAACAAATTAAAACGTTCACGCTTCCAAGTTAGGGTACATTTAAGGGCGCACATTTGCGTTACAGCACACAAAATATTTTCGGTTTCACATCAGGTTTATTTCAAGTTTTACTAATAAAAATTGAATTGTAATGCAGAAAAAGACGCTTTGACAATTCAATCCTTATCCTATTGCCAAACGGAATTTACTTCACACGTTAGTAGCTCCTTCAATCAGGTGAAATTTGTAGATGATATGTCCAAGAGGCAATCTAGGAATGCGTCGATAGCTCTTGTATCAAGTTATCAATACTGGTGCTGGTGTTAGGGTATGAGAATACTATCTATACTGTCTATCTAGCTCATGCTTTCATGAAACACGGCAAAAATAAGGCTCTTAGAATATAAGAAGCTCAACCATGTAGTCTGAAAAATAATTGATATTTTGCACCTAGAATTGTTCATGGAAGTGAGGCAGGAATATGGAAGTATATTCGCGAAGTGCGCAGGTATTCCGCTGCATTGGTCAGTTGAATACTTTCGGAAATTTAATTGTTAAACATCTGTACCCGAATTTTTGTAAAACTCTTGTCGCTGATTCTAAATATTTTCTCTTAAAACGTTTTCTATTCCAACGCTACGATGTAGAAGAACACAAATACACAGATTCCATTATCTGGAAACTTCGATAAAACTATCTTAGAGCGCAGCTGAAATTTTGTGAGCTGGTGAAATTTTTACTTGCTTCCAAAAATTACTGAGGTTCAGGAAGCTGTACAATATTTTTTTATTATTAAAAAACTAAAATTTTACCTGCCAGTCACGACAGATGCAAGTGGTGAGGCTTTACATTGTTAACGAAATCTTGATTACCAACAGAACTTGATAACAGTTTTATATTACTTCGGAAATGATATGAAATACTATCGCTTTATGCAGATTTGGTGTTTTTAGATAATGTGATTGTTGTTTCAGTTCAGAACAATTTTCTGCCTTACATACTTTAGCTTTAAACTTTCGAAGACTCTTGTGAAATATAATTATTCGGTTTGTTGATTCCAGCACCAATATTTTAGGGTTTATACTCTGAGTTCGCTTGAAATTAGCAGGCAAGTGTCCAGGTTTTCCACTTTTAGCGAGCGAGTCTGAATGAACGAGTTCCGGCAGTTGGCTTGCCAACTTTACGCCAGGACTTGTCCGATCCGCAGGCGGCAAACAAGCTAATGAGATTCATCCAACCTCTTAAATAAATGAAAAGTTTCAAGCTTTTTAGAATCCCGATCTCTATAGCTTCATAAGAACTCCGATTTAAGTTCTAATAATGTGTAACCAAATGCGATAATGGTTATCGTTCACTTTTATACTCAATTATTTGAAGTACTACATCGGAATGCTCTGTAGTGAATTACATTAATTTTATTTGAAGAGCTCTTTTTGTAATGGTTCTTGATTTTATGGTTTGCATTGCTCAAGGTACAGATTGCTCGTGTCACGGTCATGTTTTACTCAGCATATACACAATGATCGAGTACAATTTACAACAGACAAACAAAATAAAACTTCCAATCGTATTTAAATACAAATATCAGTGGATCATTCAGGGTGATGGATAAGGGAATTAGGTCTGATTCTACGCCGTGATATTTTCTTGAGATAGTATGTTACGAGCCTCATAAGCAACACGGGTTTATTTTATTAATTGAAAATAAATTTTTGACGCAGATTGTCGAATACAGAATTCCCTCATTTGCCTCCTGGATAGCTGCAGTGAAACTTTCACCTTTGCTCCAACGTAACTCAATTGAATAAAAATCTGCAGTTGTAACTTTGAACTTGAGTCGCTCAAAGTCATGAAGAAATACATGACGTTTTTCTCTTCTTATACCCGGAAATATTTTGAGTCCGGGTTTGAGCTCTTTTTCTACCCGGAAATAGTTTGAGCGACTCTATATAAATGTGACGGCAGCACTCGTCGCTCGACGCTGTTTCAGGATTTTTGGATAAGTTACTTCTGAGAACTCACTTATGTTTCAGATCGCATGAAATCTGCTAAGGAAATTGAAGAAAATTATTGTGTAAATCCGAACAAAGAAAGTCATCTTTTTGTAGAGATTTTTATTTGCAAGTATTGCCGTTGATTTTTATTTCTAAATATTAAGAATGAAACAACTCTGGAAGTTCGCAGAAAAAATGCTTTTTGCTTTAGAGAGAAACGTGCTACAACATGTGAAACAAAATCATTTTTATATAATCACCTGAAAAAAGAGAGATAATAATCAATTCAATGGAGCCGATAAATATTATGTATTTAAAGAAATTTGCCGTCCCCAGTACAACATAAATAATTATTGTTGAAATCCAGCATATTGTTTCAAGTTAGGCTTGTTCAATGCATTCAGATCTCGAACCCCATACTAATTTAAAAAATGTTGAAATAAAAGTTGAGGAATTACATTTGAATGTAATCTTTCAAAAGCATTAGTAATTACGTGATGAAAAAATGTAGGGTAACATGGGGCAGCGAGCCCACTGCGGGTCATGAGCCCATAGCGGGTTTCTCGCTAAGTATGGCAGATATTGGTCCGTGTTCTCTACCGCCGTTCGACAGTTTAACTGGGATGAAGTGTACGGATTTACGTTTTGCTAAGTGTTTGCGTTATTAAGTTATTTGTGAATAACTGTTTCAGCCCAGATAAAGGTGTTTTTCGCTGCTGAATAAAACTGTTTTCGATTACTGTAGATGAAGCTTTTGAAATTCGTGTAAATTATATTTTGAAAGTGATATTTATAGGGATAATTTTGAGATCAAGTTTAGACTATTAGCTTTTAAAATAAAATGTTGACACGATATAAATTGAAATGATATCTAGTGGGGGCAACGGGCCCACGCGTGTCACGGGGCAAAGCGCCCATGGTGAAGTCTTGTGTTATACATCATTAGATTTGTCTCAATGACCTTTTCAAAACTATGACTAGCTTTTGTATTACCAATCACACTTCATACTGCATAATTTTTCGATTTGCCGCCTCAAGGCAGCAGGTTTAGTTTCTAGTTATGCGTATTTATGACTCCTTATCGAGTTATTGACTCTTGCCCTGCCAAAAGTTGATTTCAGTCAACACCAATGAGCCAAAAGTTGATGAGTTTTTATGTTGTTAGCTGACATCACGATTAGGTACGAAATCTCTGCACATAATATCTGGATTATGGCCGAAACTGGAACAAAGTTTTTTTTCTGATCAACTAAATATATTTTTTCTAGTCAAGAATACATTTTTTTCATGTTAAGGACGAATTTTTTATCGCAAGGATATATTTTTCAAGTCAAGGATATATATTTTCATGTCAATGAAATATTTTTCTTCATGTCAGTGATAGATTTTTAAGCCAAGAGTATATTTTTTTCATGTTAAGGATATGATTTTTTGAGTTGTTAATAAACGAATGAATGTCATATTTTTAAATACATTTTTCTTATTTTTAACTGTAGTGTGTTGTTTTATCATTTTTTGACGAAAAATATGCAATTGTGGTAAAGGGACCAAGGGTGGGCGCCTTGCCCCAAGCCCATGGGCCAATTACCCCAGGGGTGGGGCAATGGGCCCATTTTGACACTTTTTACAAAATAGTGTTTCATCAAAAATTGAATAACTCGATAGGCGCTTAATTCACTTCATACATTCCTCATTAGTTGCTTCTTTAAACAAAACAAAGAACCACCTCGTATCAATTAAAACTTTATCAAAAATTTAGTTTAAAAAAAGGGGGGGGGGCGCGCTGCCCCATGTTGCCCTACATAATTGATTGATTACCTGATTATAAAATGAAAAGTCCAATTTAAACGAAAACATGTAAAGTTTACGTCGATGACATCTAAAGAATTTAATTCAAGTGTAGTTCTGTTTATTCATCGACATGACTTTAAAAAATTCTCAACTTTTTCTCTAATCATTGTCCCCGATTTTCGACAGGCAGTGCTGTAGATGTAAGGCCATTGGGTTAACAGAAACGCGCTGCATGTGGATTTACATCGGCCAATAAGTAAGTCATGCACAACGCACTACGATCAATGATTTTTTGTCGTCTACGTAAATTTTTAGGAAACACTTCATAATGCACAGCAATTGTTTTTCTGGTATTCCAGCAATTTCAAACAAACACTTCTTCCGAGCACGGTCGTATGTAAAAAGCTGTAATTATTCTCTTTCACGTGCTCGAAGTCTTGAACAACAACATGTTAACTTAACTGATTAAAGTCAGAAGCGTCCAGTTTATCAACACATCAGGCTGAACTAATACTCTCAAGATGAACACATCCCAAGTTCCGTTGCTACATATGCAAGCGTGATGCAGCTTACGCCAATACCTTGAAGAAAGTCTATAGTTTGCTGATATAGAAGAAAGTCTATATCTTTATTATGTTACTAGGCCTTCAAAAATTCTGGTCGAGGAAATTCCAAATAAAATTTAAATGTGGGTTTGACAGAAAAATTTTGTGTTTGATGAAGAAAAAAATCGAAAACAGATTGTAACGAGGATACTTTATATGTAGGTCTAGCGAAGAGGGAAAATCTATAGGCAAGTATATAAAGCATTTATTACGGTAAAACGGATGAATTGCCAGCGGTTGCGAGCCAAATAATCTAGTTTTTTTCCGGCTTGGGAGAAGATGGCCAAAATAACGGATTAATTAATAGCTAAGTACAGATTCGGTTGTTACGAGGTTTGGGAGCGATTTGAAGTGATTAAGTTAGTATCGGTAATTTACTGTTGCTCAATTTGGTTGCCTAAAAAAAATTGGAACTGTTGCAAATCACGTTTACCTCGTGATTTTTTCATTTTTAAGTTAAATTAGCTCGAAGGGAGCAAGGATTTAACTTGAAGCAAGCATTTTATATCTGAAATGAAAAAGTTAGCCTTAAAACTTAGTTTCTTTCTGATCATTCAATTGATATCCACGATAATTGCATTGGTCAGAAGCGAGATAGCATTCGGAACTTTGTCGTCATTGCACAAAACATAGAAAATTTTTCCGAACAATGAGAAAAATTATGTCGAGGTTCAGGCTCCATATAATTGAACTAGTATACTTCATGACGCTTCTAAATTTTTCTAATGATCGCAGTATGAGACACTTCAGTTCACGGTTAGTTGTGCTAATACCAGCCTTCTTCAATATTCACCATACAAATTTTTACATACAAATTTCGGAAAATATCTCACGTATCATTTCAAGCCCACAATTCTGAGGTTTGCATGAGAGGTGATTATAATCATTCTGGTCTGTTGACTGTAGAACACCAAGAGTTTTGGTTGCAAGTTTTGCGTGCCGCGAAAATCAAGACCAGGAAGCAAGTGTCCCAGGTTCAGCGAGCAAGTCTCAATAAACGAGTTCCGGCAGTTGACTCTACTTCTTAACTTCGGAACTTGCCTCATTCTAACCCGGCAAACAAGTTAATGAGATTCAAACCAGCTCTATAAAATTATAGGGAAGAAATGAAAATTTTAAAGTTTCTTGGAAATCCCTATTTGTACAGCGAGCTTTCAACGTCCAATTCGTTCAATTGACTTTTAGTAGATATGATGTTTTTAAATTCGATTCGTTTCAAATTTACCCTATTGTTCAATAAAATTGTGTCTGTATCAAACTGGCTTAGAGTGGAAAACTAATATGATGCTAATGATTTTTTGATGATGCTAGTGATTTTTGGTTCACATGTTTTATGATTTTTCTCTATGTTCAATTGCTCTTACAAACTCTCTGTGCCGACCAAATTAGTAAACAATAAGAAATATACAAGGTTAATTTCTAGCTACTCTTTGACCTGAGCAACTGTATGCAGTTAAAATGTCTGCACTTGCTACATCGACGAAGACTTCGGACATTTGCATTAAAAAGAATTTATATTCGCTCAATTAAGTCTGGGAACAAATACAATTATCACAAGGGTTACTATATCCCTAAATTTTATATATCCTAACGTACGTAGACAGTTAACAGTATGCGCGGAGAGAAGATTTTCATTTATGCAAGCCACGCTATACATATAACGTCGGTGAATACTGCTTTACAGATACTGTGGTTTCATTGCTCATACTGTTAATAATATCTTAATTCCTGTTCAATGAATTTTCGAGGTTCTTGCCTGACCTGACAGTTCTGAAAACAGAGTAAATAATGCATGCGGACATGAGTAACGCTATTTTCGCATTATTTATTTGGTTCTGATGCAATTATTGAAGATATCAAATAACCTCTCATGAGGTGTAGTCCTTTACTGGCAGAGAAATTTTCCTAGAAAGATTTGATACGAAATCGGTCTTGCCATGAGCATATCAAGTTATATAAGTGTTTCCATCAATCTTTCAAGTTACCACACTTGTGTTAGCTGAGTTGTACCTCGACAGATAAACTGATATTATTATTTCTGACAAGAGTTCGTAAGTAAATATGTGTAACATAATAACCTTTAAATAAATGTGTTTTGGGAAAAGTATTTATTCGATGAGAAGTCGACAGGTGTTGAGTCCCACAGAAAGGCATGTGTCTTCAGCTCTGTAACTATGCTATTGTTTCGTCGCATTTATTTGTAGTCTGCGGAGGCAGCAGCGCGTTAACTCGCCTCTGCTGGCAAGTACAAAGACCATAAAAAATTATAAATATCAATTAATAACAATGAAAAATACAAGTAAAAAACTGGAGATTTATTGTGTCACGTTTACTCATCGTCACGAGCAAGCACTTATTACAGTAACTTCATATTATTTATCAACTCTCTTAGACTTTGAAACACACAGCTTGTTAGTGATGAATAGTTTTAGCTATACGTATTATTAGTCGAAATTCCAAGTCGTCTCAGATTTGTGAAGGTTACAAAACAATTTATCATTCTCTCTACATAAGTTTTTTCATTGCAGAAGTGAAGATTATTTCCTCAAAAGTTGAACATAAGGGAATTTTTCTGGCTATGGCAAGAATCAAAGCAAGCGCAGCAGTTATATTGGTAAGCATTATTATGTATTATAGTTCATGGTATTAAATTATGTTTATTGATGAATGAGCATTTTTGGCACGAGTCCGGTCACGTCCAAGACATGTATGTTATTAATAAATATATGTTCATACTTGCATGTATGGCATTGCATGCCTATAATTGTTAGCATTTATATTAGAAAGGAGGAATTTAGCAGAATTAGTTGTCGTGCAATTATTAATGCAACAAATTGCGAACGTTTCCAACAATCTGATCAAATACATTTTTGATGCCAAGGTGCTGAATAAAATTACATCAAGTCAAAGGAATGACTGCATGACAAGCACTCTTTCAATAAATTCACATTTTATTCTATTGTATCTTCTCCTCAAAAATGAGTAATTTTTAACAAATTTTTCCAGGTATCGCTCGTCTGCATGGCATGGTAAGATTTACCTTATAAACTTTAGGAAAACATTTTTGTGGGAAACAACGCTGCATTTCATTCGGATTCCGAGCAGGCAGGTTCAATTCTACAATTAGCCTCTGCTTTGCTAAGCACTTATAATTTTCTTACACATAGATTTCTTTCCTGATTCTGATGATTATAATATGTATTTTTGTTCATTGGCTTGTATTAGTCGCTTTAGATAATGGTTAATTCATTGTACGACATTCTAATCGAATCACCTAGTAGAATAAAATTATGACTACAACTCCAAACCTATCATTGCATACCAAGTTTTCGACTGAATCTTAAACTATAAACTTGTTGTTTTAATACACACTAACCGCCAGAATTTCAGAATTTCCAACTCCAAAGTTATAAGTCTACACTAGACTCTGAATCCTACACATAAATACAAGGAACTTTTCTATTGATATTTTTATAATTCAGGGCAGTAGTGCCGGAGTTGAACCTGGCGTTTTGCAGTGGCAAGTACGATGGCTACTACTGCCAACACTGCTGGCAGGTTGTCTACTGTAGGGATAGAATCGTCAATGAAGCAGCGTCGCCCCGGTGTGATGCGGACCAGGTAAGTGTCCGGCACATTATGCTATATGAATATAATAGAGCATACTGTCTAAACTTTTATAACAAAGCGCTAGAATTACTTATATGTTATGAATATCACTCAGCGTTCTTTATATTTTAGCTACGAGAATTCCACATTGAACCATAATTTACTTTATACCAAAGAGTAAAATAACACACTTCGATTTTTGAACGCTTTTAAAGTCCACTAAATCAGTAATTATAGTTGATTTAAAAATTTTAGCAAATTGTGCCTTCAAAATTGACCACTTAATAGATCATATTTTCCGTTCCAAGACCGTTCCATAAGCCTGTTCTAAAGCCATTTTAAGCCTGTTCTCAGGTGACGATAAGCCGGTCAATATCCCGTTCTGAGCCCGTTCTTAGAAAGTTTTCAGTCAGTTTTACCATGTAAATTTTACCCTCGTTCTAAGACAGTTCTAGGCCAATTATAAACGTTTTAAGCCCGTTATAAGCCCTTTGGAAACCTGTTCTTTCGGCCCTGTGTGCCTCTGGCACGTCGATACGGGTCAATCATTGATCAAAGGAGAATTATTCAACCCTTTCTTCAGCATTTTATTGACTTGGTTTTGGACATTTCTCTTATTTTCACAACACTTCTCTTTAACTTCACTTCTTGTTGTTTGTCTGCAACAAATCTTATAATCAATATTTACCACACTTCTAAATGACCAATCGATCAGAACTTTTCCACATTTGCGTAAGGTCGGAGACAATGCTTGAATCAATTGACAGAATAAATAATTTAAAAATAATTATTTTTTTTTCTATATATTAAAAAAATAAAAATTAATCTGTTTTAAATATTTGCAAATAAAATAAGAAATTCATTGTACATGTGCAACATCAGAGACACTGGCCTTTTTAGATGTGTTATCTTTGAAAAGTAATTTTTAAAAGCATCTTATTATTCTTAGCCACGGGTCCAAATAATGCCGGCAGTAATTGAAAACGTAGAGATATGTAGAAGTAAGAGATCTAGATGTAGAAATGTGAACAGCAAGTAGAATAATATGCGTTTAACAATTACTTTTTAAAGACCACACTTCTATAAAATACAGTGTCTCTGATGTTACTCATCTGCAATGAATTTATCATTTTATTTCCATTTATTAAAAAATGAAATATAAAATTTTTTTAATATATGAAAAAATTAAATTTTTAGAATTATTTATTGTGTCAATTGATTCATGCATTGTCTCGGACTTTACGCGAGGGTGCAAAATTTTAGATCGATTGGACAAGTAGAAGTGTATTAAATATCGATTATAAGATTTGTAGCAGACAGACAAACAACAAGAAGTGAAGTTAAAGAGAAGTCTTGTAAAAATTCAGCCCAACCTCGTATCCATTCCATACACGAAAAGAGAACATGTGTCTCGAATCTCGCTATCCAGTCTGGCATGTCGGAGCCAACGATCACGACTTCCCTAAGTAACAAATTGTTATTAAGGATACCGATCTTTCAAAATGTGTTACACTGATAAGTAAGATAAGGCCTGGGGTAAGTAAGAAAACTGAGAACTTGTTACTTACGAAAGTGAGAAGCAAAATTTTTGTAGTCACGAACTGAAAATTGTGACAAACATGAAAAATGTATCATCTCGCTTGTCAACAGTTAATTACTAATGAAAGCAGAGCTTAAGCATTTTTGATATATTTTTTTGCTTATGTCCATTTACACGTCTTTCATGTACATAACAAAAAATTTGTATGAAAGAAGAGTTATTTTGAAACTTTATTAACTTTAACTTTCTCATGCAGGCTTGTACACTTCTATCGTCTTCTCGAGTAGCAGCTTGTGTGCCCACGGAAAATTCCGCAGCGTGTAAGTGTACAACAAACTTCTGTGATCCGTACGCTCTAAATTTGCTGGATCGGTGCAACAACATCACTGGACTCTATGATATGGTGGATTGTGGTGCTGAAGATGGTACATGCATCAGCGGAGAGTGCAGCGCCTTGCCCTCCTGTGATGGCGCTCTTGTAGGTTGGAATGCTATCCTCCCTGCCTGCACTGACGGATTCTACTGCTCAGAAGTAGGGGTAGTGACTGATGGAGTCCATTGTAAGGCGGGGCAATACGTGGATAAATATGGATCTTGCAGTTCGGCGCCTCCTAGACCTTGCGCCACAGGATGCAAAGGCTTATGTCCTGACGACACCGACTGTACTCGTTACTACGCGTGTGATTCTTTTGATAATGGGAATGTTGAAGCTGGTCCTCTGACGTGTCCTGGCGGAGCTTTCTTCGCAGCAAACGCTGATCCACCGAGCTGCAGCGGAACTGATGAATCGGTGTGCGCACCATTGACTTTTTGTAACTTTGGTTCCTCACCTGCGACTGCTTCATTCAGCTCGTATGCTCGTCCACACGCTTGCTCCAAAGAAACAACTGGTGACTATGCAGACAGCGAGTGCAGCCAAAGGTAAGTAATACATACTTTAATGCATATTCTATAATACATTCTTCTTCTCAAGCTTGTATGCAATTTTTTAATTCAGAGACTCGCCTCATTTGTCTTGCTTTTCATGCCTCGTTGTACCCATGGCAGGTATAGTCCATGTTCTCCATTCTGATGGCAGGTATAGTCCATGTTCTCCATTCTGATGACAGGTATAGTCCATGTTCGCCATTCTGATGGTAGGTATAGTCCATGTTCTCTATTCTGATGACAGGTATAGTCCATGTTATCCATTCTGATTACAGGTATAGTCCATGTTCGCCATTCTGATGGCAGGTATAGTCCATGTTCGCCATTCTGATGGCAGGTATAGTCCATGTTCGCCATTCTGATGGCAGGTATAGTCCATGTTCTCCATTCTGATAACAGGTATAGTCCATGTTCTCCATTCAGATGGCAGGTATAGTCCATGTTCTCCATTCAGATGGTAGGCATAGTCCATGTTCTCCATTCAGATGGCAGGCATAGTCCATGTTCTCCATTCAGATGGCAGGTATAGTCCATGTTCTCCATTCTGATGGCAGGTATAGTCCATGTTCTCCATTCAGATGGCAGGTATAGTCCATGTTCTCTATTCTGATGGTAGGTATAGTCCATGTGCTCCATTCAGATGGCAGGTATAGTCCATGTTCTGACACTTGGATTTATTTTTATTCACCCAGATGGTAATGTTAAACACTTTAATTCATGTTTTTAAACTACTCAATTAGGTTCATTCGCTCAAATTTTCAAAGGTTTATAGACCAAGATTTTGTTAATAAACCTTTCTGATTTTTCAAGGTACTTGTCTTGTCGCGACGTTGGTGACGGTGAGTACGCGTGGGTACGTACCAAGTGTCCAGACGACCACGTGTTCAGCACCGACCCCAGGCATCCATATTGCGTGGCCCGTGAGACCGTGGGCTGCTAAGCCACCTGCTACAACATTTATGGAGATAGAGAGACTCTGAAGAGATGTAATAGAACATTGCAGATGAAAATAAAAATAATTAATCAAACATGGTTTCATTTATAAATGGATTTTTGCTTTAAACAACTTTTAACATGGTAATCTCAATCGACGTTCAGTCTAATAATTTGTTATATATGACATGATTTATCACTAGTCATTGGATAATAAAATCTCCACAAGCAAAACCACACACAAACAGTGGTATATAAAACAAATGAATATTTCTACATGCAGATCGAGAACTCTTGCTTAATTAAAAGGCTCTTTCAATGTGTAAGTTGCATTTTGCTCCAAGTAGAAAATTTTCATCTGTTACGAGGTCAATTATTCACTTATTGAAATGAACACGTCTTTCGGTATAACCTAAAATTTTACTGGCAATGAATGATGAAAAAAAATGCCTGCATATGTAGGATTGTAGGTTCTACTTGAAACAACGATATGAATAACGTTATGGTATATTTCAAATTTTGATTCAATTTAAGACTATTGCCACGAGACGAATGATATAGAAGAGTTCATATTTAAAGTGACAGATTTCATAAGTCCAGCCTCTCAAGCCGAGCCTTGATACGCCCCTTATCTCGCTGATGTCTCGGCGATGAACAAAACAGTTCCATTTATTGGAGTGGCTTCGCTGTCACTTGCCACAGCAATTAAGTGGGATGATGCAACCACTTCTCTTGATGATTCAACCACCACCGCGCTCAAATAAACTAAACGTGATGAAATTTTATTGTATAAGAAGACAAACTTTCACGGCCTAGTCATTTACTAAATTTGTTAGAGATTGTGTAAAATAAGCAAGGTTTATAAAATTAATATCACGTATCACGTAATGAATACCACAGATACATTACAATTTAATACAATTGAATATCGCTCCTGTTTATTTACTAACTTTTACTTCATTATACATTTTGGCTAATTATTTTCAAGTTTCGGGAACGGTTAAGTATTAGTGAGCAGTTAGTTGTTGAAAATTTCCCTGATGTTCATAATTTAATGAACAAATGAAATAGTTTCTGCGCTTGTGGACGTTTCGGGCTTTTGGACGTCTTATGTATTGATGAATAGAAATGATGAACAAGAATATAAGATAAATATGGATTGACATTAACGAACGATTCAGAAATTCAACCCCAGCGTCGTCATTCCATTGTGATGTAGTGAGGTCAAAATGGCGATGATTGTTGAAATGCAAACACAAATTTCTAATCAAGTTCATATGCAGTGGAAAAGTTTGCTGTATCAAAGAATTATAACGGATGGATAAGCAGGGAATAAATTCTAACTTGTCAGCGTCTGTGAAATGGCAGAGTAAATATCGTGACAGACGTATAGAGCTACTTAACGATTATTGATACTTACAAACCTTTACCTTGGTAGTTAATACGCATAAATTGTCAGCAGTAAAACAAGCAATATGGATTTCATGCTTAAACTCATACGTTCTGATATTTCATGGTGCGATACTCTGCTATTCATTTTACAATGATGGAAAATTATACAAATTAAACTGTTTCATCGCACGGGTATAATATGAAACTATTCTTATTTAGGCGTTAGTATTCGCCTGTTTTTATGTAATTCGATACTCACCGCAGTATTGCTAACGTCGATGTTTGAAAACGTTTAAAAAATAACTTTTCTTTAGAATTGCGAATAAGTTAATGTTTTTTTTGGTAGGTATCAAGTGAGAAGAAGTTAATGAGGCTCCTAATGAGTCGGTAAGTAGAGAAGCTGGCTGAATAAAACATTATTCTACGCACGTCGTCGCGTAGTAACTTCTGCTTAACTTGTGCTCGTTGGCGGGACCCTGGGACTGGTGGAAGGGGGAACTCTGGGACTGATGGAAGGGGGGACTCTGGGACTTGTGGAAGGGGGGAACTCTGGGACTGATGGAAGGGGGAACTCTGGGACTGATGGAAGGGGAGAACTCTGGGACTGATGGAAGGTGGAACTCTGGGACTGATGGAAGGGAGAACTCTGGGACTGATAGAAGAAGGGAACTCTTGGACTGAGGGAAATGGGGGAATACTGGGACTGATGTAAAGGGAATTTTAGGACTGATGGAAGGGAATGAGTTCTGGAACTGTTAGGATGCTCGCACACCTGGACTGATGGAATCAGGTATACCCTATCATTTATGAATGGACATTTAATCTGGGATTGATAAAAGGGAGTTTCCTGTTGGACAGATGAAAGGAGGGGGAAAATTTTTGAATTAATAGAAGTGAGCGCACTCTGGCACTGATGAGGGAAGAGCTGGCATTGATGCAGAGGGAACCTTCGAAGAGCAGATGAAAGAAGTGCATCTCAGCGAAAAGAGAGATTCATCGCGATTTTCTAAAGAATTATTCAATCAATTTCACATTATTATTATACAAATATTACCACATATGGCACTAAAAAATAACATTGACTTTTTATTGTTTGGAGTAATTTCTTATCATGAACTTAGAAAGAGTATAAATACGCAGCTGCAAATTGTTCAGTTTATTGACACGAAATATTTTCTCATCCGAAAAAAAATTCCGGTCTGCTCGCAATGTCCGAACGATCATTTCCGGTTTACCGGAGAGATGACGTGTCCTGATAAGGGGACTGACAGTTAGTTAACCCGGTTTCTAATATCATAAATTTTACGGCGGTCTCCCATAAAATAACTCATAAAATGTTTACGACTATATTTTCAAACAGGCTGAAGAGGAACGAATGGCGAATGAGTAAAAACAATACATAAAGAAGTTAATGGAAGGTAATTCTTAATAAAAGAGCGAAAAGTGTCCGACTCGGCATTAGTCTCTCTTGATACAACCATCTACCACCCTCTGATGTCAGGGGTCTGGGTGACTCAAATTTACGAATCTTTCTTTGACCTAAATATTTCTAAGTAACCTGATGCGAATTTTAGGGCGTCACTTGCAAGCGGACAGATTTTTCAAGCGGACAGATTTTTGGGTGACTAGCTCTTCGCAAAACAGATGTCAACATTCTGGCTTCTGGATGACCGACACTTAATAAGATATTAATTGGATTTCCGTCTTCTGGGGGACTTTTACTTTGCCGGCCAGTCTTCAAAGTTATGATTTCTGGGTGACTTACACTTAGTAGACTTCAGGCTGCACGTGACCAGTGAGAAGTTGCTATAATCTTAACTACAGTTGCATTCACTATGATTATTGGTGCTATGTATCTCTAAAACATGAACCTTACTCACTGCCATGCACTGATATGGGGAACATACACTTAGTTTTCACAAATGTATCTTAAATACTGGTTTTGTACAAATGGGTTGCGCTTTTCACACTTCTTAATCCAATCCGTATCTAAAAAATGAATGAATGTAACCAATAAATGTTCAAATCCTAAAGGATGGAAAGCTGTGAACTGAAAATGAAATAACTGCTTGTAACTAAAATGAGAATATCGCCGATGGATTTAAATCGCTGTTTTTCCATACCAATGAAATTGATAAAGCTTTGACCACCCATTATGGAACATCATTTCACATACTACTAATTTCACGGGGGCTAGAATATTAACAATCGGCATAGATTACTATACTCTTTCACGCAGTTTCCCTTACAAATTTAAGGGAGAACTATGTTTGAAGACATTTTATAGGTTGAAATAAGTGCGTTTGATAATATTTATCCAGCAGGTATGGTTAAGATTTACCTTGTGGAAAGCTGTTAAGAAAAAAAAAACAACGCTGTTAAATATATTTCGCATCTACTATTTTCAGGCATCAGAATCAGTAAATGTGCTATCGTGGTGCGACAACTAAAAAACATTTGCAAACAAGCACAAACACAATTGAGAATATTCATAACAAAGATATCAACTAAAACTGTAAATTTTTGCCAAAAAAATATCTAATATATTCGGAAAATTTTAGGTGAAATTAAGTTCAATGATTGAATGTTATAAATATGCATTATTGTTCTCTTTTATATGCATTTATCGAACAAGAACGAAAAAAGTTACTATTTTGTGCTTATGACGAAACGTCCAAAGTAACGAGTATGTTAAAAAGTACATTTGGTTCATTTTTGGACACGAAATATTTCTCCTGTTTTATTTTTTTTATTAACATCCATTATGATAAGAAATGACAGGCAACTTGACATGAGAGAAATGTTCTCTCCATGAACATTTTTGGCCAACACTTATCTTCTTAAAAGCTCGGGCGCTGCTAAGCTGTCTCGGCTCTTTAGGACGCTCACTGGGGACACAAAAGCCCTTCATAAAAACCATCGAATAGAACCATGGTCTTCTCTACAGTCATTTTGAAAGGCCTTCTGTTGTATTGTTCTAAATTATTGAATACTTCTATAAAAACTGACATATTTTGGGATTTTTTTATCATGGAATACTTCATCAAACTTTATTCATTCGTACAGCAATTTTTTAACGTGTGATGCAAAACAAAATTTTTGGCATCAGTCAGATTTCCTTTTCACGAGTGAATATAGTATAATTACTAAAAGTTCGCTGAATAAATTTTCTGAGTATGTAGTGCTCATAAGGAAACAAATAAAGGGGAAATTTTGACTAATTTTAAATAAAGTTTATGGAATATTTTTTATTAAAAAACATTTGGTCGTTCACATCCTTGATTTCATTGCACTGGAGAACTTGAAATCTTCAACCCGAATTCTTTGACACTTTCTTTGCTAAACTGGAACTTTTTTAGTTAACTTGGAAGCATATGAAAGTCCGAGCTTTAATATTTTAAATTATCACCGTTAAGCGTGACTTTTTTGTCATTTATTATCTGCCCACTTTCACAAAAATATCGTGATGTCAGAAACGATTTTTTTAATCTACCTAAATTAAACAAATGTCTAAATCCTGCAAACGATATTGACACGCGCTAAGATGGAGATGCAGTGACCCTAAGCATGGCTAGAAACACGTGCAGGGCGGGGAATAATATTCGTAAAGAGCTTTTCTTAAGAATTATGAATGAGCTTAGCTTCCTGGAGGCTAGTTAGCCTACTAAGCTCACACCGTAAAAGTTAAAGTGCTCCATAAATG